TCTTGTTGATCAGCACGGGATTCAGTAACAGGAGTGCCTTCACGAGATTGACGTGGTGAATCTGGAGGGGAGGGAACCACGTCACCTTGATTTTGATGGATTTGATTTTTATGGTTTCCCAATATGTTATTACTGTTATTGTCGGTGTTGTTGTTTGACATGGTGATAACAGTGGACAAGATATAGCTTAAAAGAAAAGATTATCAGATTCCCGGTAACGGAACCAATTTGTTTAACCAAAAATCTGAGTCTTTGGTCAAAGCTAAAAAGAAATTTGGGTTACTGATAATCAGGAGACGAAAATAAAATGTTTTTGAGAATGATGGTAAAGTAGTAAATGGTTTTGTATTTCAGTAAGATCTCAATAGTATTTCGTGTCCCTACAGATGTTGAGTCCTTCTCCTTTTATAGTTGATTCTAGGAGATGATGTAATGCCTTTGTCTTAATGAGGCAATTATGAGCAATAAATGACATTAAAAGAAACGTTACACAATCAATTCTATTTAATTCAAATATTCTAACGTATTTGATATTTAATGTTGTATTTAGACTCTTTTATGTCATCAGATTTGTATCTTCAACTTCTTCCAATCTTCGGTCTTTAAATGACTCGAATAGGTACGAGACTCGTACCTATTTTAGTAACGGTCCACACCTATGTTGTTTTCTTTTTCCCTTATCTGTTGTCGCCCGTGCCTCTTGGCTATTTATTGTGTTTTGACCATTTGACCAGTCCACGTGTCATGCCACGTCACCTACAATGTAAATTCAGTTTTTTTCCAATACAATACTAAGATCAGAATTTACAGCCTAAAGACGGATTCTTGGAGAACGGTGGATAATTTTCAGGATGGCTTTATGGTAAATAGTTCAGGTATATTTGTTAAAGGGAAGCTTTATTGGACATCAGTTGCTAGTGTTCATGAGCTCAATGACTATAGTAGATGCAACATCATTTGTTTTGATTTAGCAAATGAGACATGGGGAATGGTGGAGCAGCCCAATTATAGAGAAGAAAAATTTAGTTTGATGCCGGGAATTTTTGGAAGTGATCTTGTCGTGACTTGTAACCATGAGGGAAGTCATTCTGATGTGTGGGTTATGAATGATTATGGAGTTGAAGCATTCTGGACAAAGATGTTCACCATTAACTGTCCTGATGATCCTGGGAATTATGTCCATTATCGACCCTTTGCCATGTCATTTTCACCACCGATTTGCCAGTCAAATAAGGGTGAAATTTTACTTTTGTATCGGTCAACTTTTATGATAAACAATCCAAAGGATGATTCAATCAGACAACCAGAGGTTACTAAATTTGAGAGCTGTTTTGGAGCAGAAATCTACGTTGAAAGCCTTGTTAGTCCCTCGTTGGTTGCTGACTGGGGACACGGTAACCATGAAGACTAGCAGCCATGTCGTCGATAACTGTAAGAGTTCTGCTTTACCCATTTCATTTTACTAATTGATGTTGTCCTTTTGCATTTCCTTTTAGTCATATATAGAACAAGACAATGTGTATCTTTGAAGCTATACGTTACATTTTCTTGTATTGGTTGGAGTTCTTCTAAGCATTCCTCCTTTTTATTTTGTCACTATTTGCATGAAACAAAGGTTATTAGGTCGTAGTATTGTTGAAGTTTGGCAAAATGCCAAAGTCCCACATTGGTTGGGAGTTAAGTTTGGAGGGGATTTTTCCCCTATAAAAGAAGGCCTAATGTTTAGGATTGAAACACACCTCTCATTTGCCTTCTCATCTGTTTAAGGCATTTGTATCTTCTCTTTTTAGTATTATTTCACTTCTATTTTTGGAGTGAAATAAAATATTGGTTGTGTCCGAGGAGTAGGCAAAATTAGCCGAACCTCATAAATTCTGGTGTTCCCTTTATTGTTGTTTTATTGTCTTATTTATTATTTGGTGGCTGTCATAATTTTTGGTATAGTAGTTGTGACTTATTCACACTATATACATTTGGCTTCCGCAACAAGTATATTGTTTTTCAAAGTTCTAGTTACAGTAAATATATGTTGTTTGTTGTCTTAAATAAAGGTTTAGAAGACATGATTTTCCTCTAGGCAGGGTGTCCCAACAGCTTGGTTAGTCTTACATTCAGGTTTTGCGGCACCTGTTGTCCATTTCATTTGGGGATATACTTAATAGAGCTAAAAGAAGAACAATAAGAATAATGAAGTCGTGTTAAGTTCTGACATAATATCCGATTTTGGTCTTTTTTCCTTGTATAAGGCTGTTTCTTTTCTCTTTCTGGCAATCTTTTTCTTTCTTTTACTTCTTTGGTGAATTAATATCGAATCTTGTTTCACTCTGACAAACATTGTGATGAAAGCACAAGCAGTTTGGACGTGAAAACGAGATTTAGGAAGGAAAGCTGCAATAGTCATGAGAGTGGAGTGAACGAGCAAATCCGAGGGGAGTCCAGGAGAGTAATGGACTTGGACTGAACCCTTGTCTGATAGCGTTCTATTAATTTGAATTATAGAATGAGTATATAATATCGTACTGATTTATTTATTTCTAAAAGAAATAATCTACTTTACTAATTATTTATGCTTCTTTCTGAATAGACCTGGACCCTGTTTGCAAACGTCTGTAGTTCAATATTCTCAGTATTGTTAGTCGCTACAATGCATTCTACAAAATTCGTCATAATAGGGATTAAATCTACTTAATATCTCAAAACCTAGCCATCCATCTCTCGAAAGCCTTAAAACGCTCGTTATTTTCTCTGGATAAATTGACAATTTTTTCTCTAATTCCGCTCGAATCTTTCTCAATTTCTGGTTTTTGTCGCTTAAAGTGATGATTTACTCTATTCCATTTGGATTTATGTTTCTAATCACTGATTTTCATCGTCAAACTGTTTGGTATGTTCTTCAACTCTTTGTTGGTTTAATTTTCTTTTTTTTTTTGTTCTTCACTAGTTGTAACAGGTTCTTGTCAGTATACCATTAGCAAAAATAGGGTTGGACACTTTATTCCAATATGAAGTATTAGGAATGGAGGTAAGAGATAACTCCCCAAACTCTTCTCTTGCAGATTCTAATGAATATTTCAAGTTTATCTGTGAGGGGGAAAATAAAATGAAATTCTGGTTGATTGTTTTCTCTCCCAATGAATTCATAATCGAGCCTAGTCTCTAAGTAATCAGTGATTGATAATTAACTTTTGTAAAAATGACTCTTCATCATTTCTAATGTCACATGGAGGCAAAAGTCCTAGGTAATTTCTTTCTATCTGTCGAAGCCTTGGTGGGCAGAGCTACCCTGTACCTATGGGAGGTAGTGGTACCCAGTGAAATTAATCGAGGTGCGCGCTAGCTGGCTCGAACACTACCATTATACAAAATATGTCACGTAATGGCTGCATGTAGTTTACAGTTTATGACCATTTTGCTGCTAGATGAGATGTGAAGCATACTGGAGCTCTAAGAAAGCCTTGTCTTACAAAATGTAATTTCACCATAACTGGGAGATATAATTTTTGAACCTTAACTGAAAATGTTACACGGAAGTTCTTTAGTTTAGAGCCTAAGCCCTATCATATTAACCTGACTATTGCATATAAAGCTAGTTCTGCCATCATTTATGAAAAACTACACGAATCCTCTGCTCCCCTGATATGTTGCTGAGTTTCTGTATACTTTCTGTCGACTGTTAATTCTCTAAAAGTTGCAGTAGTTGTGCAGTTTTATCTAAAGAGTTGAATATAAATTGTTAAAGGTGTTGGTGAGAACAAATAGTTATCAGGAACTCACAACAGATTGACTGATTGTTTTCTAATTTTGTTGATCCCTTGGTTTCGTATTACTGGTCCATGCCCTGGTTGGTTGGTTGGTTGACTGGTTGGCGAGCTGTTGTTGTACTTTGAGATGGTTAATTGTGGTTAGAATACTTCTCCCACTAATAGTAACCACCTCTCCTTCTTCTTTAATGTGGTGTAAATGTTCCTTAATCATCTAATCACGCTGTGCATAAGAACTTTGTCACCACTATTTATTGAATCACGGAATGGAGTCCTAGGTGTATGTTTGCACGTGATCTTCTCAGCTTCTATTTGTTATAATCTTCTGGATGAAGTCAATTTGTCTAAAAAACACTTACTTTCCTCTGGTCTGGAAGAGTAATTGATTTCAAGATATTTCTTTAAAATTTCTTTAGAAACCAAAAACATCCATGACTCATTCAGATTTTTAAAGAATTTAAAGATGAATTTTCAGGTAATATTTCTAAATGTGCTAACTTGAAAGATTACAAGATTTCTGGCATAAGGAATCATGGTTGCCATGTTCTTCTAAAACATTTACTCCCCCTTGCATTAGTGGTATGTTGTCCAAAAGTGTGTAAGCCACTTATTGAGTTGTCTTTATTTTTTTAAAGTGCTTGTAGAAAATGACTATTCATTTGATGAACATGCTATAACTTAAATTTATTTTGTTGATTGAGAGTATTTTAGTATGTATCATTTGGGGAATTTATGCTTTTTGTTGGTTGTGGATTTGCGGGTTGTATGTAGCTAAGCTATTATTTGTTGGTTATGATTTTTTAGAATATATTTGCATGCTTGGTTAATTTCATAAGGATGAGGCATACTCCATGTTTATGGATTTACATTTAAACGGTCAAAAGAATAATTGCGACTCATAACATCTATATCCTTGCTCCATAAATAAATCTCCAATAGTAACTCTGTCTAGCAAAAATAGTGATGATATCGTTGCCAACAAGTCAATGTTGGCATTATTTATTTTCTGTGGATTTACATGAAACTGCAGGTTTCTTTTGCAAATCCCACTTGTGACTGCTTTGTATCATATGTGTTTCTCTGCTGAAATTTCCAATAATTCCAATCTCATCTTCATATTGGAGGCTTGCCAGGGCCAAATAGACCTGAGATGCACTGCTCTTCACAAAATAGAAAACCACAGCCAATATCCACTGCCATCTCAGCACCACCCTCAAAAATACATTTAAATGGAGGGAATGATCACTTCTTCATGTCAAAGAGGTCATTTGAATCTGCATTTTTGTGAATGTAGTAAAACCTTTTAAACTTATGACGGGGTAGAGGATTCTGTGTTATGTTAGCTAGCGCAACTTCCCAAAAATAGTGATACCACAAACATGGAATTTTTATTGTTTGTGTAACGTATAATACTATGGAAGTTTTAATTTGAAAAGATAAGTTTATAAGGAAATACCATATCCGATTCAAAATAGTCTTACAAGTTTGTCTATTTCGATCCAGTCTATAGTGAGATAGTTGACACGTGAGTTTTCTCATTTTTCATATACTTTTTACCCTATGAAATTGGATCAATTATCTCTTGGTACTTTCTAATTCTGGCATTTTGATAGAACTTTGAAAGGCTGGTTTTGAATTTCAATTTTTTCTTTTTGATGCAGCTTTATGTACGTCGTGATATAAATATCACAATTTCAACTCTGCAAGTGTAGTATCTTGGCATAAAGTATTACTGTATTTGATGCATAAGTTGTGTTCAATTGTTAGTTTAAGATAAATGTAAGATCTGTTTCTTTATTCCACAATTTATTATATCTGTTGTTGCAGAAGAGCCATTTAATGAGACAAATAAATAAGCTAACACTGTCTGTTTCTTCCGTTTTAATGTTTTGTTGTTGACTTTCATCATCTGTATGCATTATGACTCAAATACCATATCCTATTCAAATTAGTCTTATAATTTTCTTGTTGATCTTTATATTTTTTCTAAAGAGAATATTTTTTCTAAATTAGTCTTGGAGTTTACAAGCAAAGTAGTTTTTAAGGACATACAAGTTGATTATATATCAGTTCACTAGGAATGTTGGGCAAGCTTTATATTATAGTCAAGGGATGTTAACTATAACTTCTTTTGCTAAGGGTTTGAGTAAACAATATTGTGGCTTATTACGTCATGGCAATACTAATGGGATGTTAACCATTTTCTGTAATTAAATACTACAGGTATGAAAGCAGGTTTCCTAATCTTTATGGGATACTAATCTTTATATTATACTTTTATGACCAGGTTTCCTAGTTGCAAATTGAGCATGACCTGCATAATTCATTGATTGATTAAAATTCCTGGAGAAAGACCTTTTGGCCTGCTCGCTTTAATACACACGCATTAATTCCAATTAGCGACAGAAACTAAGTCTAATAGGGTATTATCCGCCTCTAAGCTTAAGACCAGATTTACATATTTTGAGATCTTAAATTACGGACCAGATTTCTAGTAGGTTACTCCCTCCGGTCCAAAATAAGTGATTTTTTGGTTGTTTTCACACATATTAACATATTAAGAAATTTACCTTTTAACATTAATTAGCAATGAAATTGACCATATTAACCTTTACTATCTCTTCACATAAACACTGCTAGCACATACTCCAATATTATTTACTCCAAGTGCAATGTAGAAAAAAATAATTAATTCATTCTTAAAATCTGAAAAAATCACTTATTTTGAACCACAAAAAAAATTTAAAAAATTAATTATTTTGAACTTGAGGGAGTATATAAATAGTAAGTAAGTGTTCTTCTGCCAGACGTGGGAAGCTATTGTCTGCATGTGATTAATCAGGTCATCCTAAAAGAATGAGTATTAACTTTTTGGAAAGTGTTACATTTAATATTAAACAGATAATGATGTCGTACGGACCAACAATAAGTACTCCTCGGATTCAAAATAAGTGATTTTTTGTCCTTTTCTTATGGTTCAAAATAAGTTATTTTTTTAGATTTTAAGAATGAATTAATTATTTTTTTTTTACATTGACCTTGGAGTAAATAGTGTTGGAGTATGTGCTAGGAGTGTTTATGTAAAAATATAATAAAGGTTAATATGGTCAATTTTATTGTTAATTAATATTAAAAGATGAATTTCTTAATCTTTATAAAAATAATTAAAAAATCACTTATTTTGGAAATTTAGCCTTAGATAGTTAGATTAGCATATAAAAACCAAGGATGAGTTCTAGATACAACACAAAAGTGTAATAGATACAGCATATGTCACGGATCAATGTTTCCTTGTATTTTTCCTTAAAGCCAGAAGTCAAATTATTTTTATGTTAAGTATATTTTAGACCGGATCTATGCTAATAATTATACTATTGTATATGGTGCTGTTTAATGATAAGCACTTTCTACGTTTTCTTAAAAAGTTATTCAACTTCGCAGACAATGTTTGGCGTGGCTTGGGTGCATTTTGGATTATTCTTTAGGAAAATGGCTAAAAATGCCACTTAGGGTGTGTTTGGTATAACGGAAAATGTTTTCCGTAAACAAGTAATAATCTTATTCATTTTTCAATGGCACGCAAATTAAGGAAAATAACTTCTCAAGAGTATTCATAAAAAATTTAAATATAATAAACATGAAGACATAAACTTTTNTGATAACAGAAAAACTGAAATTTGAAAAAAAGAATCCTTTTTTGGAGAGAGGGGGTGGGTTGGGTTGGTGAGGGTGGGGAAGGTTGAGAAGGAGTTTTGGAAAGTATTTTCCCTTCAATTGATAAGGAAAATATTTTCCTCAAATTGGAGGAAAATATTTTCCAAAAGATTTAAGGAAACCAAACATGGAAAAATTGGAAAATATTTTCTGAAAAATATTTTCCTTCATACCAAACACACTCTTAATCTATTCGATTTGGTTTATAAATGTTGTCTATTAACTGATCCAGCATTGCCCTGAATATTGTCTTTTTGCATAAAAATACCTAAGGGTGTCAAACGGGCCGGGTTGACCCGTTTCCGAACCGGCTCAGAACGGTTAAAACCCGAACCGATAGTGGGAGGGGGGGTTGAGTGTGCTGGATTAGGGGGTTGGTCCGTTCACCTAAATAGATCCAGTTAATCGGATTGGTCAAACCCGGTCAACCAAAATTCCTGTTGAACCGGTTAACCGGCCCGGCCCAGATCGGCTCGGTTTAACGGCTAAATTTCTGATTTTTTTATAAACATTTTAGACCGTTGGCAACGGTCAGCTGGCTTTTGGCCGTTGCCCAACGGCTGGATTGCACAAATAGCCCTTTTTGGGCAATTTTTTAAAAAAATAATACTTTTTGTAATTATTAATTTAGCTTTTTGAAAAACTATAAATACACCTCCCTCTTCTTCAATTCTTCACTCATCTCTCATTCTCAAACTCATATTCTCAATTATCATTCTCTTAGTCTTCACCTAAAGTGCAATCAACTATTTGGCTCTCATTTTTTTGGAATTTAATTTATCGTATTATTTATTATTTGAAGTTTGAACAATTGAACTTCAAACTTTGAACAATTGACGTTTCTTCGTGGTAACATTAGAGTTACGAAATCATCAAGTGTTCAATTTGTTGTTGAATTCGGTGCACTCCCTCCAACTCTTTCTCTATTTTACTATTTTATTTACATATTTAATTTTTGATAGTAGTTAATTTTCATAATATATTTAATGCGGCAAAAAGAGTTTGTATAAGGTTACTAATCGGGGTAATCGGGAAAAAAAAAGAGGTACTACTTCAACATCTGGTAGTAATTTAAATGGCTCTACACATGTTTCTGAAACATTACTTGATAATAATATAGATTATGAACAATTATAGGAAGATTTCGATATAGAAGATAATGAATTACTCCCTCCGTTTCAATTTATGTGAACCCATTTGACTGGGCACGAAGTTTAAGAATAGAGAGAAGACTTCTGAACTTGTGGTGTAAAATAAAGCACATATATTTTATGTGGCTATAAATCATTGCATAACGGTAAATTGTTTCCAAATAGGGAAATAGGTCATTTTTTTTGGCACGGACTAAAAAGGAAATATGTTCACATAAATTGAAACGGAGGGAGTATAATTGAAGATGAGACACCACTTACACCTATTAGTGTTGGAGTTGGTAGCAGGGGTGGTGGTCGTGGTGCTAGTAGTAGACCACCTGTGGCCCCGATTACTAATCAGAGAAAAAAAATGAAGGTTTGGAATTTTTTGACGAAATAGTAGGTACTTGATAGTAGCCTATATTATGCGATGTAGATGCTATTTATTCTCTAAGTTAACCATATTTTATTGATGTTTTAAGTGCTAAATGATAATAAAATGCTCTAATTGAGGTTTTTATGCTTTGCAGGAACTACTCCGAGTTAGGAGGAGGATATAGAGTGTTTTGGGGTCAAATATGTAGATACAAGACCAATCGAGAAGAGTTCGGATGAAAACGAGCAAGAAAAGGCGAAGAAAAACTGGGCAACAGTCCACCGCGACCGCGGTAGGCCGCGGTGGAAAAAGGCGCAAAACAGAATTGTCTAAAACGACCGCGGTTGGTCCACAACCGCGGTCGATCTGGAGAATGCCAAGAAAATCCAGGCGCCAAAGTGTAAAGCGTGGAAAACTTATCCTAACCCTATATAAACTCAACAAACTCGCCCAAGTCAAGGTTAAGCTTATTTTTAGACTCAACTGGAGGCAAGAACAAGTGTAAGAAGATCAAGACACCATTAAAGTTTTTCATTCTTCTTCCTGTTATCATTATTTTATGAATTATGAATTATGAATTATCTTAGGGCTTTATCTTGTTTTACCATGAGTAGCTAAACATTTAATCTAGGGTTGATGGAACCAATTGTTGGATGAAGTGTTGATTACATTTTGATATAATTAAGCCGTTTTTTATTCTATAATTATTCAACTATGTTTTGTCCTGTGATTAATTGAAAGGGCCCTTGATTAGTCGTGTCTAGTTACCTTATGTTGCTTGAGAAAGAACACTAAGTTAGATTGTTGTTGAACAATACCACTTTCGGGTAAGTTAAGAGATTAATTACTTGAATTTAAAAGCGGGGTTAGAGATAACGAAGTTTTGGTGGGATAATTCTGAGTTGCATAAATTGGCAACTAGAGCAGTTCGAGAGAATGTTGCTAGTAAATTATCGTAATTGATCGAGAGATAATTGTTGTAACCCAGAACTCATATTCTTATAGAGTATTACGGCGAGATTATAGTGAACGTGTCAGGAATTAATCCGACAATTGGGAAAATCAATAACACTAGACCATTCTACCATTGAATTCAACTATATTCTCGATTATTTCTAGTTTTATTATTATTTTTCATTAGTTCACTAAGTTCTACTCATTATCCATTAGAAATCTTGCATCCGGGGATTGTTTGAGTTATTCATTAGTTGTGTTAAAAGTTGTAGTAAATAGGTTAGTTCCCTGTGGGATTCGACTCCGGACTGAACCAGATTATATATTTCAAGCGACCGCTTAGTCCTTTTTATAAGACGTAGTTGGGCGTGATCAGTACTGATAGAGTTAAATGCAGACTTTGTAATGATGATTTTAAACATAAGACTGGAGGACAATTAGGGGGACTGGGACACTTAGTAGACATATGAGAATTGAGCAATGGGGCTCTGATTTAGATCAAAATCAAGCAACTCTAAACCCTACTACTAGAGGACTTATGAAATATGAAAAAATAAAGGATCGTGAAGAGTTAACAAAAATGATTGCTTTGGATTGTCTACCTTTTTCTTTTGCTTCTTCATCATATTTTATTATGTATATTTAAAGGATTTATAATCCTTTATTTAAAGGTATCCCTAGAAATACTTGTAGATTTGACATTTTTAG